ACTGAGTCTTATACATCAGATTTTTAGAAGGTAAGTTTTTGTTTCTCTGTCGTTATTTACATATATTATAGCTTTTTTTAATTTCAGATATGAATATCAAGTGAAAAATCCCAGATCCATGTCAGCGGATATATCCAGATTAAAGGAAAAGCATTTTCCTTCATTTGTTCCAGCAACCGAAAGGACAAAAACTGCCTCCAGAAGATGTGTTGTGTGTTCGCATACAAAAGAAACGGACAAAAAACGCAAGGTATCGAGATACATGTGTAAAGAATGTGATGTAGGTTTGTGTGTAGTTCCATGCTTCGAGATATACCATACTAAAGAAAATTTTTAAAAAAATTGCACTTTTCTACCAAAAAATTAAAAAAAAATGTTTTTTTACCGTTTTTTAATAAAAGCTATATATAAAACATTCCTTACATTAAAAATATGCATGTCTTTACTCAATAAACAGTTATTAAACATAACGTGTTAATTTTTTTATTCTGACTGATATATGTGCCATCCGTCCACAAGGCACGCTAAAAACTGCCGTCTGTGTGGCATTTCAAGGGCAAATAGGTGCCGTCCTGAAAGGGTTAATGATTTCCGACAGGAGAAGGTACTCAAAAGATACAACCGATTCTCACTGGTTCCTATTAAACCATTCGTTCAGAACGGACACACCTTTAATAGTCTTTAACAATGATGTGATTAAAACTGTCGTGGAATTTCCCTTAATAGTGTTAAATTCTTGTAATATTATAATCTGCTCTACCGACCTGTACAAGGTACTAATCTTTTATTAATTTTTCTAGATAAAATTTCTACAAACGCAGAGTTTCGTAATTAAGATTTATTTTTAAATGACTTATTGTGAAGTTAATTAGTAGTTATCGTGATGTTTTTCTTTGCAATATTTATACGTAGGAGTAAAAGGGAATCTAGTATTTATATATTTAGATATTATATTTATATGTGCACAATCCTTTGGTAAGCATAGTTTACATAATATTACCAGCAATAACGGTATAAGAGTGGCACAGTTGGCCATGGCAAACAAAGAGTTGTTAGTACGTGTTACCCTCATAAAAATATTCATAAAGGAATCTGGATGATACCTGGTACTAATAAATTTATTCAAATTGATCACATATTAATATCTAAGCGGTGGGCAACCTTCGTAACATATGTTAGCACTTATATAGAGGCGCAAATTGCGATTTTGACAAGATAAAACAAAGAATATCAATGGTAAGAAAAAGAAAGGCGCCAAACAAAGAAAATGGAACACATATATGTTTAAAAATCCTAAAAAGAAGAATGAGTACCAACAGAAAATAAAAGTAATATTAAATGAAAGAGGAGAACAAAACAACATTGAAGAAGAATGGAATGTCATCCAAACGACAATTACAAATATAGCTAAAGAAACATTAGGTGAAACCTCAAGCAAAAGAAACGAGGAATGGTTTGACCAAAATTGCCAACAAGTAATAAACAGCAAACATATAGCTAGACAGAAATGTCTACAAAGGGATTCCCGATTAAATAGAAGGGCAGATAACCAACTCAGAAAAGATGCAAAGAAAATATGTAGAAGGAAAGAGAGAAAAATGTTGAACAGATACAACAAATTACAGAAGATAGACTAGAAAATTTTACAAGGAAACCAAGCAATACACCCAAAGATACATAACAAGATCAACAGTTTGCAAGGAAAAAAATGAGGCAATTATCAGCGAGAAAGAAGAAATAATGAAAAGGTGGAAGGAGCATTTTCAAGAGCTGTTAAACCCAGAAAAAGAACAAAACGAAGATGAAGAAATAATTCACCATACAGCAGAACAACTAGTTGAGCAACCAACATTGGAAGAAACAATAAACGTCATAAAACATCTAAAAAATAACAAAGCACCTGGCACGCGCTATGGAGGCGTATCCATAAACTAATCGACAGCATATGGACACTAGAAGTCATCCCAGAAGATTGAAAAGTAGGAATCATACTTCATATATACAAAGGGGGAGACAAACGACTCTGCAAAACTTATAGGGACATAACAGTTTTAAATATCGTCTACAAGATATTATCAGGAATTATATACAGCCGCCTGGAATCGTTTTCGGAGGAGATGTGAATACCAATGTGGCTTCAGACCAAAGAGGTCAACTATAGACCAAATACATATGTTAAGAGGTATTTCAAACAGGCGTTTGATGGAGTAGATCGATAAAAGATGTTAAAGCAACTATCTATGTTAGGGATACCCAATAAATTGTTTAAACTTATACAAATGACTTTTTAATCTAACTTTAGAAGCTGTTGTTAGAAAACTGGATATAAACGGCTGTATTAATACAAGATTAATGCAAATATGCACATATGCGGATGATGTTGCCATAATACGTCGCAACAAAAGGGTATTAAGCGAAAAAGTTATAGAACTGAAACGAGAAGCTGCTACGTTTGGTCTATATATAAATGAAAGCTAAACAAAATATATGGAGTGCACAAAGTCGAATCAACATGAGAATCTAAAGGTAGACAACCATACCTACAAATATACCCCCATTTTTTCTTACCTAGGCTCAATAATAAATGACAACATCAGTCAAGAAATACAAGTACGGATTCTTAGCGGTAATAAGTGCTATGACGCATACAAAGACTTAATGAAAAGTAAGTTAATGAATCGAAAGTCTAAGCTTAGAATCTACAAAACAGTAATTAGACCAGTGGTCACATATGGATGTGAAACGTGGACACTCTCAAACACTGATGAAAATCAAATGAGAATATTTGAGCGCAAAATATTAAGGAAGATATTTGGACCCACCCAATGCAGCGATGGTTCGTAGAGAATTAAAATGAACTGGATGAACTAATGCGGAGCGCAGATATTGTTAGATTTGTAAAGTCACAAAGAATAAGCTGGCTTGGTCACCTAGAAAGAATGCCAGATAAACGAGCTGTAAAAGTAGTCCAGAGATGGAAGCCCCAAGGAAACAGAACAAGAGGAAGGCCCCGTAAAATGTGGATAGACGGCGTAAAGAGGGATCTTAAAACCATGAACATCAAGCAGTGGCGAAGGAAACGCCAAGGCGGAATGGAAGAACATTGTTAAGCAGGCCAAGGTTCACAAAAGGTTGTAGCGCATTAGAAGAAGAAGAAGTTTTATCAAAATATGTTTTTTTTATAAATAAACTGTTCTTTATTAAAACAGCCTATGATTCAATTAATTCGCACAGTACTGTACTTGTAAAATAGTTTTAAAAATAGACCACAAAAATAAAACAATGTTAGATAATACTTGGACTTTCAGAAACTGTTGAAAACTACAAATTCTAGGTATAATTTACATACCACGTGTTCGAGACACGTTCTTGGGTATCCCCTTCAGTTTACGTCAATAATATTAAGAAACATGTTGCAATAATATGAATGACAGCATCAATGGATAGACATCGGCAGAAGAGAGGTACATATTGTCGAAAAATTAATACATACGACCAAATATACGGGATTTCTTCTTCTTAGGATTTAATTACGCTTCTTTTATATCAACTAGCTGTGTTGCACATAATAACAGTAACGTGTGGTAATACAGTGAATTCGTCTATCGGGAATATCGTAGGTGAATGTCAATGAAATAGTGCAGCAGCCGCAAGTCGTTATGCAATAAAATACCCAGTTTATGGGAAGCGGATACATTCCAACCGCAAGTTGCTGGCAATAGTGGTCGTCCAATAATGGATGCAACTGATGAAGACATTTTAGAAATCATTGAAAAAGTCCCTGGAACAAGTACAAGGGTAATACCTGCTCAACTAAATGTTCCTCACGTAAGGGTTTAGAGGCGTTTGAATGATCAGCTGCTTAAACCTATCTCTTAACAACGGTTCAAGAGTTATTGGTTGAAGATTATCCTAAAAGGATTGGATTTTGCGATTGGTTGTTAATGGAAAACACTCGAAATGTTAATTTTATTAGAAATATTTTGTTTACCGACGAGGCTACCTTCAGTAGAAATGGAATAACAAACCATCATAGCACATTTGGGCCGACGAAAATCCTCAAATGGAGATAATAATTTTCAGTTCTTGACAAACGATTTACAAGAGTATTTGGAAGAAGTGAATATTGTAATAATAATTTCTGCAAGATGGCGCTCTACCGCATTACAGTAATAAAGTCCGGGAATACCTTTGCAGGCAGTATCCTGGTCGTGGACTGGAAGGGGTCATGACCCACCTATTTCTTGGCCACTCAGAAGTCCAGATCTTAACCTCATGGACTTTTGCTTTTGCGGGTTTATGAAAGAAAAAGTGTATTATGTAACAATAGAGGAAGAACAACAATTCAGGGTTAGAATAATTGAAGCTGCAAATCAATTTCGTCAGAAAAATATGATTTTTCAGCGCATTCGGTTTTCCTTATTAAAACGATACCGAATATGTATTGAAGATAATGGGAGTCATTTTGAACATTTATTGTAATATATTTATAAAGGTTATAGATATTTTTTGTACTTGTTAATTCATTCAACCATTTATTTAGTGCACGTAATTTTTTGAAATTTAATGAAAAGGGCTGTAACGCAATAAAAACTGTTTTTTGAAAAAAGTGATGGGGCAAAATTTTTTAAAAATAATGTCTTAAACTAATGCTACCACAAAATTCATTTGATTTGAACGTACTAAAAAGTTTGGGGGGATTTAGGGCTGCACATCCCCTCAAAATTTTTCTGTGTGCTTAGATGTTGTTGTTTATTTTGTATGAAAAATGCTGTCAGAACAAGGAGTAACGTGTCCATTTTTATTACAAAATGTCAAGTAGTTTAGGAGATATGCAAAAAAAAAACAATTATTTTGTAACTTCAAAGGGCTGTAACTTTTTTGTGTACACTTTTGTACTAAGGAAAGTTGGATTCAATCAATTTATTTTAGTCCCGGAATGCGTGATTTAATTTATGACATACCTTTTTGAGACACCTGTATAAATGTGTTGTACATACCTGTAGTTTGACACATATAGTCACAGCACCATCTACAGCACATACGGCCGTAATATATACAAAAATATCGGATAGTAAGTGCAAGACCGGCGACTATAATTACCATTATCCAACCGAAGATAGACAGATTATTTTGTGCCATTATTTGATTTTAACGATTTTAAAACAGACAGCCACATTTATCCACACAACTAAACTACACACAATCCACTTTATCGACTATATTACAAATGCAGTCGGAAATTACGAAGTTATTATTAATTTATTATTAACTACTGTAGATAATCTGCGGTATTATCAAAAAAATCCTCTCATTCAAGCTGTAACTACCTTTACATCTTGTTTAACTTGATTTTTTAACTGAGCTACTCTTTGTGAGACATAACACATTACACTCGCAAAGAGGTAGTCTGCTTGGGTAAACCCGTGACATATACCCAACGGTATTCTTGCTCGACATCAACAGGCTGGGTATTTCCGAAAACAGGTTCACTTGGCGCATGCGAAGCAAAATTCTTTGTCAGCATTTTGTTTTGAAGGAAATTGGATAATCATTAAAAGTAAGATTTTGAATATGATTAAGTAGGTATGTATGGTTTAGGTTGGAATTAGAAGACAATGGTAATATTTATTTTTTAGACTTGCTAATAGTACGAGGGAGCGACGATAAGTACGGAAACAAACGGTTACATAAAATCAATAATAAAATTACAGTAGAACCTCGATTATCCGTCTCTCTATTAACCATCACCTCTGTCAACCGTCAGGGTCAGGTGCAGTTATGCCACCACCGCACTTTTTTACGTAAATAATTTTTGTTCTTATTCAGGGATGTTGAATAAATTTTAATGTAAATAGGTGATGTTAGACTTCGGCAAATATGCATATTGCATATTTTGCTTATTGTGCATCTTTTATGCAAATATTTCATATTTTGGCATATTTGTATAAAAGTTTGCATAAAGTGCATAAAAGTTCAGATTTTTATACTGTATTTGAAAATTTTTAAACATACCAATTTATTTCAATTCTTGTATAAAATTTTGTAGTCATTTTAATCAAGAAATGATCTAAGTACGTAATCTCTACAGGTACAAAACATTTACAATTTCAGAGAAGATCAATTTAAGTAGCCCTCAACATTCTTAGAAAGTCTCGGTCACTGAGGCATTCAGTTATTGGATAATCGCTAAGGGTTCGCTCATTTGCATTTTATGATCTAATCCCCAAATCTATCTACAATTTATTGTATCTTAACAGCAGGTAAACGGCTAATAGTTTTGTTCCTAATTTAGGGATTTTCCAAAATCTCCCAGTTTATTGAATTAGGTACCTAAACATTTCTAATTTGATGCTCAGATTTGTAAATCATTTTTGTTTTGATATTCAAAGCGTAAACACTCGTTGTGCGTAACAAAAAGGAAGATTGTGATTTATAATGCCTAAAACAACCAGTGCTTCAACTTGGATTAAACCTTATAAAGAGCTGTCTATGGATATGGGAAAAATCTACTGTTCAGTCTGTGGCAAAATTGTAAGTATCTAATATTTTCTATTAAATATCTAATATTTCATATATACAGGGTGTTTCCAAATGACACTTATGACGTTTGACTGTAGATACTTCTCGAAAAATTGAACAAAACGATATAGTTAATGAGGGGTCAAACTTATTTACTTTTCGAGATACAGGGTGTTAAAATTAAAAAAAAAATAAATTATTTTAGTTAATAACAACAATAACTTTAAAACCAATAAACGTATTTACTTGAAATTTAGTACTCGTAGGTTGTTTTTAAATGAAAAATAGCTTCCTTTAGTGAGAAAAAATTGTCCATGGTACAATACAATGGTGTGTATTTAGAAAATTTTTTCACCTTTACTTTTTTTATGAAGTCAGCTATTCTAAAACACAATTATTTTTATTGTAATTGAATTAACAAAAAAAAAAACTTTTGTTGAATTTTAAAATAAGTTATATGATGTACTAATGGTTAGTAACAAAAACTAATTTGTGGATTAATACTGCATTTAAAACACTTAGCGAGTGTTTTTTTTTTCAAACCAGTTATTTGATTAATCAAAAACACCTTGTATATTTTTATATTTTAAAGGTTGGGTTAAAATAAAGGTTTTTATTTTTATTTATAGATAGCATCTGAGAAGAAATTTCAGATAGACCAACATGTGAGAACTGCTTCACACATTGCAAAAAAAGGAAAAATAGGAGGAAAACATCAAACTTCAATGACTAAATGTTTCCAATCTACTTCAAAAAAATTAGATGAGCAAGAAACTTTTAATGAAGACTTGTGTCGCGCATTAGTGTCTGCAAACATACCGCTTTCAAAATTAGCAAATGTAAATTTTAGTTCGTTTCTAAAAAAATATTGCAAACTTAATGTTCCAAGTGATCGGTCTCTAAGAAGAAATAATGTGAACGGGCTATACTCGTCGGTGTTAATTAATATTAAGGAAGAAATTGCAGATAATTATTTTTACATATCTGTAGACGAAACCACTGATTCCTCAGGAAAGTATATTGCTCATTTATTGATTGATGTTCTTAAAGAAGATACCTTACCAAAATCTCATCTTTTCATGCCAGCAACTTGAGAAAACAAATGCTTTAACAATTTCGCGTTTTATACAAGAAACATTAGCAACTTTTTTTCTTCCGACAACTATTCCTTCTAATAAATTACTACTTTTTTTATCGGATGCTGCTCCTTATATGGTGAAAGCAGGACAAAATTTGAAAATATTTTTCCCAGATTTAATACATGTTACTTGTGTAGCGCATGGATTAAACAGAGTTGCAGAGGAAATACGAAAAAAGTTTCTTCTTGTAAATACCATGATATCCAGTGTCAAAAAAGTATTTCTTAAATCTCCTGTAAGAATTCAACTTTATAAAGAAATGCTACCTAACATTCCTCTTCCACTACAACCTATTTTAACGCGATGGGGAACATGGTTAGAAGCAGCTAATTTTTATGCAGATCATTTTGTTAAAATAAAGAACATAATTGATACGTTAACAGATAAAAGTTCCCAATCTCTTTTGGATTCTAAACAAACTTTTCAGAGTAACTTGCTTCAATAAGAACTTTCATTTATAAAATCAAATTTTAGTTTTGTTCAAAAAACAATTACTCAGTTAGAATCACCAAAACTGTCATTGTTCGAAAGTACAGCATTAATAAAAGAATTTGCGTCATGTTGTCGGAATGTTAGAGGTAATATTGGAAAAGATATTTTAAAAAAATTTGAAGCTACTATGGAAAAAAATAAAGGTTACCATATTCTTTCTGAAGTAGTCAGTGTTCTAGCTGGAAATATTTCGGAAACAATTAATTTAGAACCAAATGTTTTGGTTAGTTTGAAAAATGCTCCCGTTACATCAGTTGATGTTGAACCAAGTTTTTCCATAATTTTGTAAAATATTTGCATATTTCGGGTAAACACGTGCATATTTATGCGCATATTTTCTACATTTTTATTTACATATTTGCCGAAGTCTAGTGATGATAAAACCGTGCTTTTAGAGTTCTATTTTTATAATCGCAAGCCGAAAATAAAAACACACAGCACAATAATTATTACGGTCAATATCTGTGTGTCATTGTTTATGTCATTTAGTCGTTTGATCAATTGTTTTGAAAAATGGAGCCTTCCACATCTGGAGCATCAAAAAGAAAACGTGTTGTTTTGTCAGTTGAAAAAAAAAATAGAAATTTTTTCAGAACTAAAGAAAGATGTTTCTGCTGTCGCATTGAGCAAAAAGTATGATGTTCCGAGAACAACAATGCATGATTTAAAGAAAAGCTGAAGGAATTGAAAAGTATGCTTCGCCGGGTGAAAGAAAACGAAAAAATCATCGTAAGACAACGAAAAAAAAAGCCACAAATAGATCACTCGACACGGCTCTGTATTTGTGGTTCTTTCAAAAAAGAAGCGAAGGTGTTTATTAATTCACTTCATAGTCATATTGAATTTACAATAGAAACAGAACAAAATCAATCCATAAATTTTTTAGATATAAAAATTATCAGACTTAAAAACAAACATGACTTTTCCATATTTCATAAACCTACATAAACTGACACGACTATACACAATTCATCATCCCATCCAACACAACATAAACTGGCAGCTTATCATAGTATGTTACATAGATTAACAGAAATTCCGATGTCAAAATACAACTTTGAGACAGAATTAAATATAATTAAGCAAATAGCAGTAAACAACGGATACAACGAACAAACAATTAATAAAATGTTAAATCAAAAACTACACAAGAAAGCCCGAAAATTAGTATTTCCATCACCAGAGAAAAAAACCCAGTACCTTCTGCTCGATTACATATACAGGCAAAATAACAACAAAAATAGCCAAACACATAAAAAAGAAAGGAATAACACCAGCTTTCCGAACAAATAACAACCTAGGCAAATATATTAAAAATAACAAGAGCCAAAATAAAAAACACTTAAATAGTGGTGTGTACAAACTTCAATGTGACGACTGCCCAAAAACTTACATCGGTCAAACTGGTAGAAACTTTAATAAACGAATAGCAGAACATAAAAGGGCTTTCAATAATAGAAAAACAGATTCGGCATACGCACTTCACCTTCTAGATCATAATCATTCTTTTAATGACAAATTTAAAATACTTCACATTCAAAATAAAGGCCTTAAGCTATCTTTGTTAGAATCTATGGAAATCGACAATTTAAAAAACACAGATATAATTTTGAATGACCAACTTGAGACAAACACTTCTCCCCTCCTCAACCTATTTCATTAGAGACTATAAATTGTAAACGCATACCAAAAATAGATCAATTGAGAAAGGCAATCGGCCGAAACAGCTATAGTGATATTTTATAATAAATTTTGTAGAAGTGTTGAAAACAAAGTTTTCAGTGTTTTATTGTTACATAAAATGAATTTCCATCAAGTAACGGTCGAATCCATCAAAAATTTTGATGTTAAAGAAGATACAAGAACAAGAAATGACTGCCTAAACAAGAAAAAGCAATCAAAGATTTCTTTAAAGTGAGAGCACAGTACATATGTACACTTTTTGTAAACCAACACTCCTTTAATCCCGTACCTGTCGGATTATCACGTGATAACTGCACTTTTACATTATAAATTATTACACAAACATGTTAATTTTTATTAATTTTAGAAGTCAGTGGCGTCACCAATAAAGACCAATTACCTACAGCAACATTTAGTTTATTAGAAAATATTCAACACCTATATCTGAATAACGACAAAACTTCTTACACGTTTATGGAAACTTTTTGTCTTAAAAGTGAATCATACTCGACCATAACAATATTTCATTTCAGATTACTTT